TAAAAATCCTGTCACGTTATTTCTGATATACCTTTTAATAGCATCATGATACAAAAAAGGGGAGGGTGTGGAAGCTAGTCATGGTTGTTGTCTAATGATTAAAAATCCTGTCACGTTATTTCTGATATACCTTTTAATAGCATCATGATACAAAAAAGGGGAGGGCGTGGAAGCTAGTCATGGTTGTTGTCTAATGATTAAAAATCCTGTCACGTTATTTCTGATATACCTTTTAATAGCATCATAAAGGGGAGGGAGTGGAAGCTAGTCATGGTTGTTGTCTAATGATTAAAAATCCTGTCACGTTATTTCTATTATAAAAAATGTCCTTTGCAAATTTATTATATTTTGAAACTTTCTACACCCGAAAAATAATTTAAAAGTAAAATTCTAATACTAATTTTACTGTTGTAATTGCAGACGTGCATGGAGTCATATTTTACATTATTTAAGGTAATATTAAACGACGCACAAATGTACAATTCTTCGACACTTGATGATGGAATCTTGGATTATAAGAAAGCGCTTTTAAACAGCAAAAAAAACAACAAAAAACAATAGTGCTAAAGAACATACTGAACAGACCTGCAGTGGTTCTCAAATTTTTTTAAATCGAGACTCCTTCGACACCCCCCCCCCCCATACGTTTGATCCCCACTTTATTAAAGAACTGTGGTCGTTATATGTCATGTTATATTTTAGTATAGTCGAGTTGCTCATTACCGGAAATAATTTTGTGGCAAAATTTTTTTTCTCTGAATCAGCTCTCGCCCCCCCCCCCCACAGGATAAGTGGGTCGCACTCCCCTGTTTGAGAACCACTGGATTAGAAGATCAAAAAACCTTTTTTAGAAATATTTTCGTCAGCTAGAATCAGTTTTCTCTTGATGACGAAAAAAATTATAATTTCAAGTTATCACTTTCACTTTATTAGAACATTAGGTTTTTCACATGCCTACCACATGGCATCTGAAGGCAATTACCATACGTTTAGAGCACGCAGTTATAATATGTTTGTTTATTTGTCCAAAGTTAAGCACAAAGTTACACAATGGGCTATCTGTGCTCTTCCCAGCATGGGTATCGAAACCCGGTTTCTAGCGTTGTAAATCCGCAGACTTATCGATGTGCCACTGGGGGGCAATTATGATCTGAGAAAACACTTATTTAAATACTTTCCAATAGTTTTATTTTAATGTTTAGTGTTTAGGAATCAGATTTAGAAAACAAACGATTTATGTCTTTCCCGCTATAAACTATTTCACGTATATTTATAAATACACCTAAAAAACAAAAGTATGATTTCACACTTTCATGGGTGTGAAGAACGTATACAGGAGCTACGCCTAGAAAAGTAAGGAATTCACACCCTTCGCCAGTAAAAGTTATTTCGCACATACTATAGAATTATGAAATATTAAATAGTAATATCTATAAGAAGCCATTCTTCTTACAAGCGAGGTAGAAATATACATTTTAAAGAGATTATGTCTTATAAAAAATTGTTTATACAATTTGACAGTCGAATCAAAAAATTATCTTAATGCGAGTGGTTTTGTTAGCAGTTCTATTTATTATTACATACCACTTACACGACTGTCCATCCTGTTTATAAATTCACGTCTTTAAGGGCGTTAATTCTCACCTTTTCAAAAAGAGGGTTTATGTTTGTAGGAATCATGCCCTATCCAGTATCATACGTATGCTCTCACAGCCCCTGCAATTGCGGGGGGGGGGGCTAGCCCAGAGGAGATGCGAATCAGCCAGAATAGTAACTACAATTGTAGGGAAATAAATGTAGAGGCTGAATTACTTTTTATGCGCGGGGGGGGGGCATCTTTTGCAATTACGTCACTGGCCCAAACCACATCAAAATTGGTGGTGTTAGAAACCAAGAGGTGATTCAATAAATAAAGAATATCATGATTTTATCGTTGTTGATATTTATAGGTTGTTTATTTATTTACTGCCTTTCTCATCAGATACATTTTCAGGTGTGTATGTTTTAGCGCAAAGCTACATAATAGGCTATCTGCGCTTTATCCACCACGGGAAATCAAAATCCAGATCTTAACGTTTAAGTCCATAAACTTACTGTTGACCCACGGGGGAACATCAAGATGTGAAGTCATGCTTTAAAGGATATGGTTTGGTTTTCTTATAAGGAGAATTTGTTGTTAAAAACTACCCATGCAATTGTTGAACTATTTTTAGTTAACTATTTGCTACTAAAATGCATTAAGAATTCATCCATTAATATCATCTTTAAATCTTCCTAGAAGCGTTAGAAATAACTGATTTTTGTTGGTTTGAATGTTACAAACACTAGGTGTACGTTATTTGATTTTAAGAATTACACAAACACACCTATAGAGACAGTAGCATCAATATTTTTTAGCTTTATCTATTTACGGGATAACATAATAGGCTAGATTCAATGTTTGTGATAATTTATTTTTTCACGATATATATATATATTATCTCGCCTCGGATTCAGACCAGAGTTTTGTCACATGCCACGTGAGTACTCTACCAACTGAGCTAAAGTAAGGCTCTTTTTAACCCTTTCAACTGCTATATCCTTTCCCTTTCACAAACAAGGCCCGTCCTCAGGCCTAACTTTTTAGTCGTGGGACTGTCATTAGTTAGATGTCAACGTAGTAATTTTTTTTCACTATTATCAGATATGAATTCTAGACCTGTTACATACCAGGCAAGCGCTCTACTAACTAAGATAAAGGGCCAGCCCCCTAGCTCTTGCTAGTGAGGCACTTTTTTATCATTAGCAGATGATATGTCCCCAATTTGGGGACGGGGAATTGGAACCCGCGACCCTCAGATTGCGAGACGAACGCCCTAACCACCTGGCCATGCAAGGCACTTTTTAACAACTTAACCATTATATACCCATGGATTAGTTAATTAATCACAAGAAAAGGGGTGATTACATGGGACTTGGCTTTTTACAAGCTTATTCATGTGGTAGTATTATTACTTATACATGCTGTCTATCCCTTTGCTGTCAGAATAATAGGAGTTTTTGAAATAAATGTTTTAGAATATGAAACGATACTTGTAATTTATTTTACGTTAAAATTACTCATTAAAAATAGCAAACCGATAAACCAAAAACTGGAAATGCAAGTCATGTATTCAATACTTTACAAGCTCGATTTTATAGATCTTCTCCTTGTTTATAATAGGACGTAGCTATATCACATACATATAAAATTATGGCACATAAATACTAGTACTTATAAAATATTAACCACAAAATGAAATGACAAACGTCGGTAATTTTCCAACATTAACCACGATACTTTACAAAAATCAATCGTCGGTAGTTTTCCAATGGTGTTCTACTTTTTTGTGGCTCGTGAATGTTTATATACTAACCACGTGTAAATAAAAAATAACTAAGTATATAGAGGGCGGTGAGCATGCATAAAAAAGTCAGTTTCTCTTCATTGTCAGAAAGAGTAAAAAATTAGGCTTAAACTCTTTTTGTCGCTACGTGGTATTATAATAATAAGCCTTATGGTAACTGGTAAAGAAAGGCTTTATGAAATCACACACAATACAAGCCTAAGTTTTCTTGTTTGAAGCTTAAGTCACATACTTCAAAATTATTTATATGGATGTTTATTCTCTATTAATTTTAAGAGCTGTGGCTTCCATATTTTGTTTTACACCTCAGTGTTGTCTCCATCGGTGATGTTATAAGATGGAACTACGAGCCGAGTCTGTCCATTCGAAGCTACGACAGTGGCTGCATGGGAAGGCGGAAATTTATTTTCTGAATTCCATTTTCTTCGGACAAGAACGACGGCAACGATAATGACGACTATCAGAGAACAGACGATACCAGCAATTACTGGAATAAGCGGAAGACCAGTTTCGTTGTTTTCTTTATTGGCACCATCTTGGAATACACCAGAGTCACCTGATGCTTCCTCCTCCTCTGCTGTTGTCCCGGAGTCTCGTGAGAACTGTAGAACAATACGATTCATGTTGGTTCCAAGCCCATCTTTACCAACTCCATCTACATCTTTGGACGCCCGCTTGCGCCGTGAGAGGGCAGCACCAGCATTTTGTAAACTATGATACGGAATACTCCGTTTTCCTATTCCCCTAGCAGCATTTTTCTCTGAACGAACAGTGTAGATACAGTGAACAAACCACTGTGTCCCAGACGACACCTGTCGCGAAATAAACAAAAAAAATTATTCTATTGACTCAGATAATTAATTATCAGAATACTATTTATGATGTTTAAACATTTCTGAAGACTAGTATTTCGAATTATATGTATGTAAAAAATAATAGTTTTAATAAATCCGTTGTGTATGTCGTTATGAAATTTTTTTATTATTTTTAAAGTAGAAAAAGGCTTCAGTTATATAAACTTTTTCTTTTGTAAGAATAAGCTGAGTAAATATTTATAAGTCACGGAAAACAGCTTACATTTTAAACTTAGCCATCTATTGCTTTTCACTTTTAATTATAAAAACTAACTCACTTGAAAAAGTGGCGCAGAATCAAAACGGAAACCATCAGCACCCGGCTGATTTTTCAGATTCGCAACTTCCGGTTCCACATCATCAACAGCCAGCACAGCGTTGAAAGACACGTTTCTGAAATAATTTTTTACTGTGTTGGGAGCTCCTCTATCCTACGAATATTAAAAATTGCAATCATTACTTTGCTTCTGCTAAATCTCAAATTGTGTAACTAAATACCTGTTGTGTCTTTCGAAGAGACTTATGTTGAATATGTTAATCGGAAAAAGACATATTTTAAGAAGATGTGTAATAGTTATTTTTTATTTATAAATAATCGCATCTCAGAATTCTCCAAACTCTCTAAAGACTGAATAAAAAATTAATTGGCAGAAAAAAGTAATATAGGAAACAAAACCTTTGTGACACAGCGATAAATTTTATAGTTCGATCCCTGCAATGAGCAAAGCACAGATAGTCCATTCTATAGTTTTGTGATAACAATACAAAGAAATAAAATCAATTAGAACAAGTTATTACAGTCCAACTACATATCATTTTCTCGGCAAATATGAAATACAAGCATACAGAAGTGGTGCTGTTATGTAATTATAGCTACATGTGCTGATTATGCTAATACGCATATACATATTTCAGAATATTTTACCAGTCACTATGGGCACCAGTAATCGTTATGTCATTAGACAGCAGCAATTCTTAATGTTTAAAAACGTACACAAACTTGGAATTTGAAAATAAATTTTAGTATTTTATTACTAAATACAATCAAAATATGTATATATTATGCATGTGGAATATTACACCATATATGTAATCTAAAGGGTGTATGTACAAAACATAAACCTTTCGAACGGGCGCTTGACTTGCATCCCACCAAACATGCTCGCCCTTTCAGCCGTGAGAGCGTTATAATGTAACCGTCAATTCCACTAATCATTGGTAAAAGAGTAGCCCAAGAGTTGGCGGTGGGTGGTGATGACTAGCTGCCTTCCCTCTAGTCTTTCACTGTAAAATTAGGGACGGTTAGCGCAGATAGTCCTCGTGTAGCTTTGTGCAAAATTCAAAACAAACCAGACCTTTCGAACATGGTCGTAGTTAGTTATGCGAAACACATGCTGGATTACCAGAATACATGGATTTGTTTGTTTCAGAATTACGCGCTTATCTAAGTAAGGGTCTATTCGCGCATAGCCGTCCTTAATTTGGAGCTGCCAGACCAGAGGGAAGTAAGATAGTCAACAGCTCCCACTGCTAAATCTTGGGCTACTCTTGTGTAACCGAATAGTGAAAACTGACTGTCACTCTTGTAGCGCACACACATATCTCTGTTTTTGTGGCAAGGGTGACGACCCTGGAATTTTCGTATTCCTAGTCCAGGAACGCTAATCACTCAGCCACACCTGGCCCAGAACATAAGGAAGATCGTATGATGTTTCCAAACTATAAAAAATAATAGCGAATAGTGTTTACCCTGGAACATGATCGTATGATGTTCCAAACCATAAGAAATAATAGCGAGTAGTGTTTACCATGGAACATGATCGTAAGCTGTTCCATACTATCAGAAATAATAGCGAGTAGTGTTTACCATGGAACATGATCGTATGATGTTCCAAACCATAAGAAATAATAGCGAGTAGTGTTTACCATGGAACATGATCGTATGATGTTCCAAACCATAAGAAATAATAGCG